GTGAGCCGTTACCGAACTCGGCCATCCAGAGGGCCGCCCACTTTAATTCTAAGGACCGAGGAGACGACATGGAGCCAGAAGGGGCTCGGCGCCGGTCCGCTGCTGTGTGCGAATGTAAGAGGAATAAGAGTTGAAGTGCAGGGCGTGGCGGGGAAGAGGGTGGGGGGCTGGCCCGGGCCGCGCTGACGGCGCGCTTTGTACGCCGAGAGAATAAGAAACCATTAAGGTGCTGCCGGCGGGCGGAATCTGATGACGGAAGCTCGTTGGCGGAAGGTAGCGGCGGTACCCGCGGCGGAGCGGCGCGGTGGTCGCGCGGCGGCCAGGTTTCGGGCGGAGCGGCCCCCACCGCCAGAGCTGCCGCTGCGAGCTGCGACACTGTTAGCGACTGCGGGATATAAGTAGCGGAACGGGCCAGGGCAAAAAGGGGTCGTCGTAAAGAGTGTGCTGGAGGGGGCGGCACGCTGCCTCACTGGCTCAGCCGGCCCCCCCGCCAGCCCCACCGGCCGCGGTAGCCATGGTCGCCGCGCCGGCCTCACCACCACCGCCCGCACTGCGTTCCGGACAGCTTCCTTTTTATCCCGCCGAAGAGCAGCCGGCCGGGAGGTGTTCGCTCCTGAATCTTTTAGCGCCGCGCAGCTGCTGCGACTGATACTGCCGAAGAGCTTTTCCAGCGCGGACCCATCGCGCCTTCCCGCACCCTTCCCGCCTCGCCCCTCCGGTTTCCCTTTTTCATCTGCCTCTTTTGACCAGGGGGGTCCCCCGCGAGCAGGGCGCCTCTCAGCTGCTCCACCTCGTTTCCCCGCTAAACCCCTTTCGCTGCTGAGCTACCCCCAGATCGACACGGAGCAGAAGATTCCTTGTCCTAATGGTGCCAATGGGCGCCGAGTGGCGCCCAATCTGTTTTAATGACTCGGTTGCAGGCTCGTCTCGGAGGGTGGGTGAAACGGGCTGTAAGTGGCCATATTTTTTGAGTCACCTTCGACTTATTATCAGTAATGTTCGCTCGTGTTCGTTTGAGATGTTCCTTTATTTATCTGGTTTGCTAAGCGATAGCGAAGCCTATTATTACTCCAGTGATCGTAACCGTTTATTGTTTATGTTTGCAGAGGCCGGCGAGTCGACGCGCAAGCCCGTCCTGGTGTTCATCCACGGCGAGTCGTACGAGTGGAACACGGGCAACGCCTACGACGGCAGCGTGCTGGCCGCCTACGCGGACGTCGTCGTGGTCACCGTCAACTACCGCCTCGGGATACTGGGTGAGGAAAAGCAGACTAGCAATAACGAGACATGGAGACCCACCTATCAGTATTGAATTGTTTTGCTCCTCTATGCAACGTGTTTTGTGAGACAGCAAGTGCGGTGTAATTGTTTACGCTGGGCTATGAACTAGGGATAAGGGAGGGTGGGGTGGGGGGGGGGGGGGGGGGGGGGGGGGCTGGCCCGGGCCGCGGCTGGCAGTGCGCCCTCCGGGGCCCGAGCACTCCGCGCGCGAGACCAACTTTATGCTGTCGGGACGGATTCCCGGCATGACGGCACAGCAGCACTGCTTTGCAGGCAAATTTTTTGGAGGTGTCATATTTTGCTCGAGTTGGCGCTGTTGGAGCGTGTGCGGGGTGTCTGCGCGGGAGTGGGAAGGAAAATAAAATTTGAAACGAAAACGATCGTTGTGAGCAAACCCTTAATTAATATTTTTCCGTGCGGCCCCCACTCTCGCCCCCTTTCCCCTTCGACCCCCAACCTCCTTCGCCCTCCCTCTGCCCCGCACCGTGGCGTCCTTCCCCAACCAGCTGCCGTGAGCAAGAGGAATGGTCCATTTGGACTGTCCGCTCGGATGAAGGTGAAGCTGGCTGAGCCAGTGTGCTGGCGAGGAGATCAACCACCCCCAGGACCACCCCGCCCACCTGCCGCCGCGGCGCCCACCGGGCTGCTGGCCGCTGCGGAACAGCCTCGTGAAATATTTTCAGCCGTCGTCTGCGCCTTGTCCGCCGGTCTCCGTAAACTGACTATAAATTGGCCGGCGCCGTGCAGGCCAGCCAGCCGCGCGGGCCAGCCCTGCCCCGCCGGGCGGTTTAGTAGTTGGCGGTGAGGCATGGCGGCGCGAGGGTGAGACCGGGTAAAAGTAACGCACCGACCCTCGTGGGAACTACTTGCGGAACAGACGGGACTAGCTCGCGAAGTTGCACCGGATGCTAGCGCTGCTTCGTCTCGAAACACAAGCAGGGAGCAAGGATACGGCGTGTGGGGAAACCGCGAAAGGGGGAAAACCTTACCCCTTATCGCTATCACCACGGTTGAGAACTGTGTTATGCTCAGCCAGCGGTAGTACGGTGCGCACACGCACGCACACTCACACGCATTCACACCCACCCACGCACACTTGCGCGCACCCAGCCTCCATTAACCCCCCTCCTCCGCCGCTCTGCCATCTCGGTCCGTTTACGGCGTCACGTATATAGAAAACCGCGGCGACCGTGTGTGGGCTCAACAGTCCGTAACTCAAACCGAAAGTGGCACGACCTTGAGGCCCGTCGCGCCACTATTTCACACGTGGCGGGCCGGGGCACGTCTCATCGCCGCCGTGCCGCGGAGGGAGGGCGGGAGGGGGAGCTGTTACTGCCGTGGGGAGCGGAGCGGCGGAGCAGGGATGTCTGACAGGATAAAAATTGCAGGGTCTTCTTCTTCTCCGCGTCCTCTCCTCTTGCGCTCTACCAACCACGCCGACCTTTTACCCGCCTACTGAATTAAGAGCCGGAAAATTTTTCTTGATTTTCTCGCGGCGCCCGCGACAGTTTCTTTGCGTTTTTTCCTTCTCCCGCTACTTTATGGGGGGGTATTACAAGGGGCGGAAACTATTACGGGGTCGGGCGCACCCGGCGAGGCTAGCGTCCACTTCTGCGGGTGGGCGCGCCGCTAGAAGAAGACTTTTGCGCGGATCCCCGCGTTTAAGCTTGTAGTATTAAATATGCCCTCCCGACGTTCATGCCCGGCGCTCACGTCTAATATGTCGGTGTCTGTTTGTCTAGGCTTCCTCAACGCCAACCCCGCCCCGGGCGTGGTGGCCCGCGTCGCCAACTACGGCCTGATGGACCAGCTGGCCGCGTTGCACTGGCTGCAGCAGAACGCCGCGCTGTTCGGCGGCGACCCGTCCAGCGTCACGCTCATGGGCCACGGCTCGGGGGCGGCCTGCATCCAGTTCCTCATGGTGTCGCCGACCTCGACGCCGGGTAAGTCGGTTTGACCGCTGCACTCGGCTGCACTCGGCTGCACTTATTAGCAAGTACGTGCCCAATGCTGCCCTCGTGGTCCTCGCCCGCTGGCCCTTCTGCGCCCGCCGAGGTTTAGGGCTAGGACCTCCCTCGGCCGGGAGCGCCCGGGGGGCCCGAGACCCCCCCAGCGGGACCTTTCATTTCCCTTCGCTGCCGCAGCCGGGCGGCTTCCTTCCGGGCAGTGAACGGCGAGGCGCCTCCTGGGGCCTCTCCTCTCCTCCATTCGGGGAGACGTCTTAAGGAAGTCCTCCGAAGGTAGGTTGGGGGGGTGGCTCGGCGGCGGGTCCCACAAACACCCTGGCCTTGGGGCACACCAGCCCCGCCCCGCCCCGTCCCGCCTGGCCCGCATCCGAATAATGGGGTAGTAAGCCCCCTGGCGCGGGGGACTAGTGGCGCCCGGCGATGGCCCCCGTCCCTTCATTACGACTAGAGTATTGCCAATGGGCGCGCGGGGGGAGGGGCGGGGTGGACGGCCCGGACCAGCAGTCTAAGATCCCCGGCACGCCCCGGCACCCTGCGTCATTCGGCTGAAGGAGAGGAAGGGACCCGATATCAATTTACCGTCGCCCATTTAATAGAAACAAGCTTGTCTGATGCTCTCGCCGTCCGGACACCAACTACCGCTTCTACCCAGTCGCCCCGCTGTTGGCCCGCTGACTTCACCTACCCTACCTGTACCCCCACGTTATCACAATAATAGTTTGTACGCGTCAGTTTCTCCAATCGGCCTCGTGGTCGGCGGTCGAGCGACACATCTAGCTCGCCTCGTGGCCCTATACATTCCAGCCGGACCTCTATTTTCTCCGTCCGTCCAGGTGGTTGGCTATTTATGGCGACCTCGCGGACGTGTCCACTGTCCACCCACTCGCTATTTACAGCCTGGCCCAGTAGGATAGAACGGCACAGGAGAGAGAGAGAGAGAGAGAGAGAGAGAGAGAGAGAGAGAGAGAGAGAGAGAGAAAGGGTGAGGAGAAGGGGGTCAGGGAAGTGGTCTCCGCGACAGCACCCACTACCTAAGCTGTCCTCAGAGCACTCTCCGCCCAGGGTGGCCGTGGTGGCACCTGCCACTGGAGCCTCCGCTGGACTTGGACTACCTCACTTCACCTCTGAAGCAGCCTGCAGCGCAGAGGACGCCCATATCGTACTAGCCGCGACTTGTGTGTGTTCGCATCTCGTGCGTGCTGGCGCCCAGTGATTTGTATTCTATTGGATGGCGGCGATCACGAGATCGCAAGTAAGTCCGTCGGTCATAACGCCGCGATCCGCTGATAGGGCTGCTCATTGAGCTATCTGCCATCAGCCATTCCCAGGAATATATACTGCTGCCCGGCCGCCGCTGCGTGAGGACGGTATCGCCGGACATTTGTTCGCGGTAATGACCGACCGGCCGAGTCAGCGTCAGCAGAAGTTTTTTTTTATTTACTTTTTTTCATTTATTTTTACCGTGGCGATCGGTTGAGGCAGGGAAGGGAGTCGACAGTGGTTATAAGACCGCCCACCGCCCCCTTGCTCCTTCACCCCCTTCCTCTTTCTCCGCGCCTGCTCCGTGGCCTCTACCAGTTTCTTTTTCGCTGAGCGACATTGGAAGCGCATTACTCCGATGACCCCAAAAGTTCCATGCTGTTTGTCTGATAACTCGGACAACTGACAACTGATATCGTTTTAAAGAATTCAGGGTAGTTTTGTGTATCCCACGTTTTAAACACTCGTTTCTGGTGCCTATGATTAACATGGGGGAGTGGACACATAGTGGCCACACCACACTAAACGTGTTAAATACGGATCGATGTCAAGTTGTGGCCCTGAGCAAAAACGTTTCACAAAATTGGCATAAGGAGTAGGTTGAAAAAAACTATTGAAAGTCGTGAAAGTTTAATGAGATATCGCGGAAGCCCGGCGAAGCCTGTTACGCGGGCCCTCGTCTAGCGTACATGTGTCCATGTTCATTCCTCTTATTCGAGTCTGCTACTCATTTGCCTGCTTTTCTGAAGCGTTTATTCAGCGGTACAGCCTGCTGTCCCAAAGTCACCTCGAGCAAGTCCTGCTGCCAACCTGCTCTGTAAGAGGGCAGGACACGACCAAGCCGACTCAGCACGCTGAATCACGCGGTCGGCTATGATCCCACACAGTGATTGGGCCGCTTCTCTCTCTCTCTCTCTCTCTCTCTCTCTCTCTCTCTCTCTCTCTCT